AAAAAATTTATATATGTATGTATATATATAAAACGCGGGATGTTGCCGCGATTGTGTCTACAGTTCTTGTCGGATCTAGATGAAATTTGTTACACATATTCTTTGGATAATAATCTTGAATGAGTTCAAAGATGAGCGAAATCCATCGATAAGTTTAGAAATGGCAGCTCTTCAAAATTATCAAAATAGTGAAAATCACGTTTTCGGTGACTTCATTAATGTATAACTTTTGGTTGAAAAGAGATGGCTAATTTTTGATGAATTCATGTAAAAGCTCATGAAATTGCCTTTAATTTGACGTATATAACATTGACATTTTGACCATTTTTAATTATTTTATCAAGGTTAAGAGTTTGACTGAACCATTTTCAGGCAATGTGTAGTGCAGGTGACTTATGAATGTTATTCTGTCGAGAATTCGTAACAGATCCCAATGAAATTTAGTATACAAATTCATTTGACAATTAGCTTGCATGAGCCTTAAAATGAGCGAAATCCTTCGATTAGTTCAGAAATAGTAGCTCTTCAAAATGATCAAAATAGGAGAAATTACGTTTTCGGTGACTTCATTTATGTATAACTTTTAATAGCAAAAAGATAGCTCATTTTTGATAAATTTACTCGAAAACTCATAAAAACACTTCTTATTTGACGTATATAATGTTAACTTTTTCACCATTATTAGTTATTTTATCTAAGTTAAGAGTTCAATTGAACCATTTTCAGGCAATGTGTAACACAACCTATCCATGTTAAACAAAAGTTATTGAGACAAGACGATAATTCATTCTATGAAATCTACCTTCCATTTCGGGTATGGCCGAATGGCGTCTTTTTTTTTTTTTAATTGATATCAATATTTATGTAACTAAATAACAGTCAATTAATTGAAGGGAAAATAATTATTTACCATATGTTCAACAGAAAAATATTTTATAAATTGTTTAATAGAGATAAAAATGATTTTTTTATATTTACAGAAAATTATCGGAATAATTTTTGTTTCAATTCAGCAATTTATCTTAAAAAAAAATACATACAAATTTTTCAGAATTATTTTTTTTATTTGAATAAATATACAATCTAATAATAGTTCAAGATATTAACAATTTAATTTTAACAATTAAAAAAAAAGGAAAATTGGTCACAAAATAAATACAAAAGATTAGTTGTTTTTTATTTTTAGTAGATAAAAAAAAAAATTTCTTAATTTTCCAATAAAATAATGAAACCAAATCAAAATTCATTTATACAATGAAAATAATAAACTATCACATTACTTAAATGCATAACTATAGTTACAGTTTGTTTTTGACAGTTGAAATGAATTATTTTCATCAATTTAGAATCCAACCAACAGCACCGCCATCCCTTTATTGTGTAAAACAAATTTTCGACATGGCATGACTGATTTTTATTATTAAATACATAAATAAATAAATAAACAACGATAATAACAACAATAGCAGAATAGAATAAATAAAATCCACATCTGCTAACAAAAACAAGAGAATTGAATTAAATGTAGATTTGCACAATTGAAAAATAAATTAATAATATCACATGTGTAGATTTACTGGCATTATAGCACACATATGCGCATTATTATATGCATAATGCATTATTGTATTTTATTATGAAGTTACGTTTCGGTGAAAAGTGTATGTGTGTGCTAAATCCAAAAACAATAACGAATGCAAATGCAAAGGTTTAAATTGAAACCTAATATCACCCTACAGTTTTGCTTATTTAAATTTCTGATGATAAAATCATGGCTGACTATACAACGAAAAACAATGCGAGTAGGATGGATGACCAAAGAAAAATAAATAATGAATAGACTCGATAGAATTATATTTGACTGTTGTTGATTGGAATTTTGCAACTGTATACACATTCGTTATTTTTGTTATCAATCGAGTTGAGTATATTAAACAATCACATGAAAAAATAAATCTATTTATTTTCAATCAATGCTTCTATGTTTGTTCTATTCTTTTTTTTTTTTATTCATTCATTCTTTATATTTTTTTCTTTTGTGCAAAAATTCACTTTCTTTTATTGTAAAAAAAATTAAATTTTTATGAGCCTTCAAGCTTTCAATGAATGGTATGAAAAATAAACCCTAAGATCCGATGGTCAAAATTCAACCATAAAATAACTGACCAAATTAAATATAGTGCGTCTGGACTGTAATACATATGAGTGCGCAAGCGCATTATCAGTTCCTAGCTCTAGATGTATAGGACCTAAAAAAAAAATTAAGGGATTTTTTCGGTTTATAGCTATGCTACGACCGGTTGGAATTGACAAGTTTTATTTATGAGTGAAGAATTTTTTCTTATAATTAGTTCAAGACCTATAATGTATTTAGATTTTTATTTTACAAGTTTCTGTCAAAGTTACCGAGGACTAATTAATTTAACGCTGAGATTGACGTCGAGCTTGTTCTAGCCAGCGACAGGATTAATTAAGACGCTTCAACGAGGATCTTTTGGGAATAAAGAAAGTTGATAGGAAAAAAGTTGTTAAGTAGTAAGGAGTAGAAAAAATCTAAATAAAATACTTAGGTGTAAAGCCACCGGATAAGAAATTTAAATTTCAAGTGTTTTTCATGTAAAAAGTTAAGAACTTTATTTACTTCTGATAATTATTTTTTAGTCTTACACTGATCTACAAATTTTTTAGTGCTGAGAATGTTTTTCATTGAAAATTGTGTTCTTTTTTTTTATATTATTCTGTTTATAAAAATTAGTTAAAATTGAACATTCTTTAAATTTAAGAAAGTTAATTCTTTAGTAATTTAAAAATAGATAGATGTTTTTAGAAAAATTAAAATAAGTTTAATAAATTTTCACGTTATTAAAAGACGATAATTTTGAATTTTGAAAAAATTAATGTCTGTTTAAAAATACATTTTTTTAGTATTAGCAGAGAAGAAAAATTTTCTGTAGTATGAGAGTTTATAAAAACACAAATAAACATTAATTAAAATATCAAAAAAAAACAATATCAATAAATTGATTCGATTAATAGTAGTACTTATGTAAATTAATGTCAATTTCATAATTTTTAGCGACTTAATTACTCCTCCTTAATTAATGAAGTAAATAACTATTTATTCACAAGAATTTAGCCAACTTACGCTTGACATCTTCAAAATAAACCACAATTGAAATATCAAAATTAAATCATTTTTCATTCTTAAGAACAAAAAAAATTAAAATTCAATTGAATAAAAATTTTGAAATAATTTTTTTTATGCAAAAAAAAATTTGTTTTTTTCAAATTTATTTTTTTTAAAGAGATAATTTTTAACTTTCCTTAAAATCGCAACGAATTATAAAAAAAAGTAAGTCTTTAAAATGTCAATATTCTTCAAAATTAACTAAATAAAAAAATATTATCACTGCAGCGACACCTTAATTTTAAGGGGAATAGCTTGGCATTAAAACAGACTTGTTTGTTACAGTAACAGCCGTTACCATCATGGCATAGTACACTGAGAGTAGTCTCGTAAAGAAAATAGAATAGAATGGTACAGAAGATAGAAGATAGAGAATAGAGGATAGAGAATAGAATAGAGAACTGAGAGCATCATAGCTTCATCGTGAACTAGCTACAATATAGTTTCTGTGCCATCAGTTTCCAACAATAGGGGTATGAGGTACGAGCAACGAGCTCTTTATTTGAATATTGCTACGTGACCATGATGCATGCGGGCACATGCATACAAGCGTACACCAATATACACCAATATACACACACATGCAAATAAATGAATGCTTTATGTAATACATATATGTATATATTCGTTCAACTCAATAACCTCAGGGACCTAGGTTCACCTACAATTTGCGACAGTCAATAAAATCGGAGTATGTTTAACCTCTGACTCAGAATTTAAAGGTGAGGATAGATAGGAAATTAAAATGAAAATGCGCCACCAATCATACGAAGGTATTTGAATCCAATATTGTTGCGGGTGTGAAATTTAACGCCGATAAGAAAGAAAATGGTTATCCAATATTAATATAACCGCTGAATATCGACACATTTTATTGGTATGATGATAGAAAATTTTTTGAGAATTTTCTTTAGTAACGAAAATATGACAATATTAAAAAAAAAAAAAATTGAAACGTTGTTTATCTAAAAAAAAATAAATATTTACTATCGAGTGTGTGAACAAAAAGTGAAATTGATGAACAAGCATCACGAGAATAATTATAGAATGATAACTTCGGCGAGTCACCGCTAGGTGTCGCATGGTAGTACGTGACGTTTGTAGGCAGAAACTTATTTTTATGTTATAAAGCAAAACAGGCTAGAATGAATGTTGGATTTTAAAAAATTATGAGAAACTATTATTTTTTGAAGGTTTATAGTTCATTCTTTGTGATTAAATTTTGTAATTTTGAATATTTAAGTTAATATTTACTTAAAAATTTTTTGAATAAAATTTACATCTCAAAAAATTAATTTTATGTAGCTAATGTCAAATAATACTTTGTAAATTTTAATTTTTGTTAGAAAAACTTTCAATAGATTTAAAAACAAAAAGAAGAATATTATTTCTGATAAATACATAATTTGAGATGTAACAATAATAATGATCAACACATTAAACAATTCTGGAAATTTACCAATTAATTGTTAACTTGAATTAAAACTTTCCATTTGTAGATATTTTTTTTTAATTATTGCCTAATTTAACTGCTATATACCGAAATTTTTTTTAATTTGACTCTGTAAGTGATATCTGTAAGTGATTTTAATGTAGTAAAACTTTTCAAATTTTAAAGATAGTGCACGAAAAAAAATTTTTTTTTAAAATTACCTTTAATCGCCAGATATAATGCGGCTCTTAATTAATTACCATTTTAAAAATAAAAATTACGAAAAAATTAATTTATAGTAGATTAGATGAAATTTATTAAGCAATATTTACGGTAAATTTTGTTGAAAAAAAAGTTAAAAATTATTTCACTTAGCGACAAATGATACAGTCGTGCTATCCATTCAATGGTAATTTAAAAAAAAATTTTTTTTCATTGTAATTTAATGTTTAATAATGTCAAAAATTTTAAAAGTCAGACGATTGGCCTGTTGTTTGTCAAGTATGTGCATGCTTATGTGAGCGGAATGATGATCCAAAGTTAAAAGATGACCATACTGACATACTCGATTCATTTTGTTTGGATCCAATTTCAGTAGATCTTGGATTGTAAGTAATGTTTTGATAAATCACTCAAAACATAAATTAAGTTAATTATAATAACAATCTCAATAGTAATTTTTTTTTTATTAGTGTCGTCACTGGAGTGAGGTTCAAAAAACGTGAAAATAAAATTCATCTTGAACTACAACAAGGAAAATTAAGAGATGGAAAAATAATCGAAGGAAGCGTTTCTTGGAAGCATACGAATTTTTGTGAAAACCACAAAAAAGTTATTGATAATTTTAAAGGTTGGACTTACGATGGGATGAAAGTTGTATTGGAAGATATTATTCTACCTGATAATGCAGTTGTTCCAGGTATGCTTAATTTAAATTCAGGTTTTAAAATTTTGTAATTTAGAAATAAATCATTATAATTTTCTAAGAAAAATGTTAAATTCAAAATTTCATTTATAAATAAAATTTATAAATAAATATTTATTTCAATTTCAATTAGATGCCGATACAAAATCATATATTTTAACCCGAAAATTTCATTTGATTTTGCCTTATCAATTTTATATTTAAAACTTTATATAATTAGCAATCCGCGTTTGAAGTATAAAAAAAATTTTCATTCAATTCAGCTTATGTTTTTTTTTCTACATTCCAATAAAAAAAGTTAAATTAATTTTTTGCCAAATTTGTAATAAAATTATATTTCTTCAAGTACCTGAATTTTATATGAAATTTATAATCTGGCTTAATATCATCATATATGCCCACATATAATTTTTTAAACAAATTTAGTTATCAAAATCTCTAACAGATGGCGCATGGTCGCCAAATCTTTTTCTTACAAGAGAGTTAACTTTGTAAAATTAAGTAATAAAATAAAAATCAATTCTTTGACTCTCTTAAAGAGTTTATCTGAAATTGTTTTCATTTCAATCAACTACTTAACCAATTTTTTCTTAGTAAAAACTTAGTAATTGACAAATTTCTCCAGAGAAAAAATTATAATGAATAAAATAGCCATAAATAAGATCAGGCCATAATATGGCCATGTTAAAAATTTTTTTTCTTGCTCTCCTAGCCGAAAGTACGCTCATCTTGGACGCACTTTACTCCAGGAAGAGCGACATTTATGGCCGGCTCAGCCGGCTCTCTACGCATGCGCGCTACGCATATTTTCTGGCCGGCAGCACAGAGCCTCGCTTTCTTTCGTACTTTCGTGGTGCGACCGGCCTATACAGCGAGTTTCAACTGTATATAACAGTCACAACATCGTCTGTATGTAACATGTCAACACATAAACTAACCAAAAAGTGTCAAATAAATAAAAATAATTTCTTACTAGATTATTGTTAATGAACTATTTAATAATATAATACTGCACAAATAATTTATATAAACATTTTAGAAAATACAATATAAAAGTTTAGTAGATTTTATTTGCTTTCTTTTATATTTTGACAGCTATAGTAAAGCGATTTGTTTATAAAACAATCCATGTACTCTACAAGCTTCTAATAATTAAATTTCAATCTTTCTTAGCCGTCTAATTAAAAACTAATTTTTAATCAACTTAAAAAAATTAATTCTGTTATTAAATCGAGTTTAAATATTTGTGACAAGTTCTGTGCATGTTATCTCTCTTAATCAGAGCGTTTGTTAGTAAACTTTAAAATAACTTATTTTTTTTTTATTTATCAATTTTTACTTTTTTATTACGCCCGCCCCGACCAGTAAAACCTCGGCTTCGCCTCGGTTTTACAAAAGTCGGGCGGCGCCCCCCACACCCCCAGCAAAACCTCGGCTTCGCCTCGGTTTTGCAAAACCCCTTCCCCGGGGTTGCGTACTTTCGGCTGGAGAGCAAGAAAAATAGTATACAACCCATGACCAGAATGTTGGATGCCCTGACGTATGTGATATGATGGCCTCGGTTACGCCTCGGCCATCATATCACATACGCCAGGAAATCCAACTTTCTGGCCTTGGGTCGTAATATACTATTCACGGGTATACTTGAATTTCAATTTAACAGGCGCAGCGTTTACCACTTCAGTGGAAGGAAAATTTCTTGACAGTAATGGAAATATCAATAATCTTTGTACAGAAATTGATCAACATTCACAATGTTCCGAAAAGTTAATTATCATGAATTATTTTGATTGATCGAATTTAACAATTAAATTAATTATCTTCACATATTATGTTTTAGGACTATTGATTTAGTGCATGTAGGTCCAAAATTAATGCCACCTACGGCTTTCAATGAGACAATTACAGAGCTCAGTCAGTCATGTAAGCATCACGTATTATATGGGGATACATCGTGGACTGAAAATTACATGACTTAAATTGTACCTTTCGTAGACTTGCAAGAAGTCGTTACGAACCCTCCTCAGCCAATCAACGGCATAGGCTGGTACTATCAAGGCCAACCTAAGTACGGAGGCTACTTGGCTTTGAAAATTTTTGTGAAAAAAAAAATCCATGATGGATATATGGAAGGAAATGTATTCGCTCATGAACGTCTAGTTCCTTATTTGTAATAATATTATTGTATATAAAATTTGTAGTAAAATTTTTTTTTATTGGACATATTCATAATTTATTTACGAAATTTGCAGTAAATAATCTATGTGATAAGATCGTTTAGATTTAAACTTGTTATCAAGTTCTAGAACCTTAAAGAAACTTTCGGCTCACATCGATTGCTGCAATAAGTAATTAGTGTTATTATCGAGTAATTACATGATAAGAAATACAACATAGTTAAAGGTTGATTCATACGCACTTAATAAAATTTTAGACCCACTGTTATAGATGTGTTATTTGTTGTTTGATACGTAGCAATCGATAATAATTGTGCTCATTAATTTTGACATTTAATGAGCATTATTTTTTATTAATAAAGTATATTAAATAAAATTTCTTTGAACAAAAGCAAAAAAAAAATCATTTTTATTATTATATATTTTAATCACTGTTATCTCTATATTTGATGTATTTTATAAGCCAAAATAATTACTTCTTAAAAATAAAATTAATGAGCACAATTATTATCTATTGAAACTTATAGTACTATTAAAAACATATTTACTAAACTGGGATTTTACATTTATCTTTTCTTTGTTTACAAAAAAAAAAAAAACAGGTTTTTTACTACATCCCCTTCTTTTTTTTTTTGGGAGGTCATTGAAACACTTAATAATTTTTTTTTGTTGTGACAAAATCAGGAATATCCAGCGATTTGTTATGACAACAAAATGATATTGGTTAATTGAATTAAAATATATTATTTTTCATATCACTTGTAGGGAAACTCGAAGATCTAATGTCTGTCCAGCCAATTAAAACGAGAAAATTCCAGGTCGGAGCGAACCTGCTATCGATTACTATTAGCACGCCTTGATATCTTTTAGGTGAATTTGTTGATTAATGAAATTTAATACATAAGTTATGGATCAGTTATTGCACCATAAGATAACTCAAGGTTACTTTGACCCTTATAAACTATGTTTATAACTATCTTGCTTAAGAACGGTTTTTAAATTCTTCACCAATTCTATTTGAAATATTAACTCATTCTTTTATTGCAGTCGATAAATATTAATAGGCAGATAGAGACGGTTAATTTTTTTTTTGCGCTGGAAAACTCTAGACTAAATATATTCAAGTAATATGTATGATAATTTATGAGTAGCTTTTCATATAAAAAAAAAAAAACTAATGATGTGCATGTTAGGTAATCTGCGTCTTTATGGCGACAAAATATTGCCATGATGATGATGATGATGATGATGATGATAATGATCCGGGCATTATATCGGGCGATATTCTTTCAAAGGATATTTTGTCGCAGATTTTTTTGTACTCAAATAAAAATGCGTAAAACCTGGCTGTTTAAGTATCACCTGATGAATCGCAATAAGGCGAAAAAAAATTATTTCTTCTCCAATTATTATTTTGTAATCATAACAAAGCGCTGCGTATTCCTGACTTTTGTTATGACTATAAAAAATATTTTTTTACAAAAAAAGAAACCAATTGCGTCACAGTGCTTTAGGCCAATAATTGTAAAAACCCGATGTTACAATCGTCCTAATTGTCAAATTCAATTATTTTTAATGATAATAATTGGTGTTACAAAAAAAGAATTTATTCTTCAAAATGTTTATAATTTTTTTTTTTTTTTTCAACTACTAAGAGTTTGAAATTCAATTCAGAAATCAACAATTTATTTTGAAAAATTTTTTAATCATAATATTTAGCTAGCAAATTAACCGATTACAACAAAAATTTTATTTACAAATATTAAGACTGTAAATAATAAATTCTAAGTACTATTTACTCAATTAACCTTAAATTTATTCATTAACTTCTAACATTATTTTCAGCCCAACTATATTTTTTATCGTAATGTGTAATTGTGCGTATTACACATAATTATCAATCAAAATTGATGACTTAACAATAATTATTGTATGTATCGAATAAAAAGATAAAAAAATAATATTTTCGTAGAAAGCAAACAAAAAAGGCGTTCGGATATCTAGAACGTTATTGGCGATTGAACGATAAAATTTCTAGGAGTAGCCGGCTATTTTTTTGTATAAAAGGAACTTTATTTTTATTTAATTATCATTAAATTTTTGTAAACGTTGCGTTCATAATGTCTTCTTTTTTTTCAATCGCGATACTTACAGTTATTTTGTCGATAATTTCAATAGTTAACACGTCAAAAATAAAATCTAACTATAAAAGTAGAGGTAATTTGTTTTTTGTTGAACGATCTAATCTCTGAAATATTTTATAAGACCGTGAGATTTTTAATTTAAAGTTTTGATATTTCATAGATTCATCGGTCGCTCAATTTAATAGTTTATTCGTAACCAGTTTCGATGAAAGAAACTTAAGAAATAGTAATCGATGCAGAGGCGATTGCGATAAAATTTTTTTGGAAAAATACAACTCTTATAATCGTGAGATACATGAAAAATATTCCGTAAAACTTTATGCATGCCAGCCAATCTTCGTAAGTAAAATATTTTATTTTTATAAATTAAAGTTTGAAAAATATTTTTTATTTTAGACTGGGATAAAAATTCGCTGTCAATTATGTGCTTGTTTGTGTGAACGTACTTTTGATCCGAACTTTGAAGTATATAAGGGAGGTTTACTTGATTCGTTTTGTTTAGATCCAGTTTCAGTAGATCCTGGGTAGTAAGTATTATTAAAATTTCATTGCATAGAATTAAAGGTTAATTAATTTATCATATTTATTTTAATTAATATTATTAAAGAATTTACATTAAGCAAATTTAATTAAAAATGTTCATTTTTGTCTCTTCCTATAAATGTTTCATATTGAAGTAAAGAATACTTGAACCAAGACACCTTATTTTTTCTGTGTAGAAATACTTAAAGTTTAGTGAAGAATATTGAATGCATAAATTTTAACTAATTAATAATTTAAATGCTAGCGTTGCAACCGGAGTCAGATTAAGAAAACATGAAAACAGAATTCATATCGAACTTCAACAAGCTAAGCTCGAAAATGAGAAATTAATTGAAGAAACTATCTCTTGGAAGTCTACAGATAGCTGTGAAAAATCACAAAAAGTTATTGATAATATCAAAAATTGGGATTATGAAGGCTTCAAAGTTGCGTTAGGGGATATTATTTTACCTACGAATGCAGTTGTTACAGGTTTTTTTCTTTAAATATATATGTACTCTGATAAAAAAGTTAATTTGATTTAAGAGAAAAAAAATCGTGGACCAAAAATATAATTTTTAAAAAAATGATTTTTGTGAGTCAAGAAAAAAAATTCTTTAATCAAAAATAATTTCTTGGCTCAAAAAATTCATTTTCTCCAAAATGATATTCTTGATTAAAGATTGATATCATCCTAAATTATACTCAGTCATATCTGTGGTGAAAAAAAGTTTCAGATAATATCTAAAAAAATCCAGATTATACTGCATGATATCTTATTATCTTAATATCTTATTATACTCATTGTAATCTGGATTATACTAGCTAGTATCTGAAATTTTTTTTTACTCAGTATAATCTGGGATGATATCCAGTGTCATCTTGTTCTTTCCGTGAATTTAACTTTTTTATCATTATAATATCCTCAAATTTATCAATTTTCGTTATTTTTCCATCACAGGAATAACTTTAAACAAGTTTTTGCAAGGAAAATATCTTGATTTTAATGGAAATATCGATGAACAGAGTACGGATGTATATGAACTGGTTCAATGTGGCGACAAGTAATTTGACGTTTTTTTTAATTAACAATATTTATAGGTATTAATATTTAATGACATACAATGATTGAAAAACAGCTCCCCAGAAATGGAGGACTATTACCAGAACCAACCGATCAATGATAGTGCTTGGAATTCCTCTGTAACGTGCAATGGTTATGTGACTTTCAAGGGAACATCACTCCTGGAGGATTACGGGCAGCATATTTTACCGTTCGTAGACTTACACGAAATGGTTACGGATCCACCTCGGCCTATTCGCGGAATCGGGTGGTACCTTCAAAAGGGTTTTGACTTCCCAGAACAACTTTCTTTGCGAATTTTTTAAAATATTGTGGTCGTTTTTTTATTGTTATTAAAAATTACTTGAATATTCAATAGTTTTTCTTAAATTTTTCTTAATTATGGCATAATTTTGCTTGCTGACGTAATTAATTAATTGTTATTTCTAATAGATAGTACGTAAATTGGGATTTTGATTAGGTATACTCAAGTTACATCACTACTCTGTGGTAACAGAACAAATAAATTTTAATATTTATAAAAAATTGCATCAAATTTTTTTTTTATAATTCCTTTATAAGTAGCATTTTTTGATAAATTTTAAGTATAATAATTTATTACTTAAGAAATCCTAAAAATTATTATTTACAAATTTAAGCTTGAGATAAATTGTTTAAAGTATTTGTTAGTAATTTGTCATCTAAAACTTGTTCTAACTAAATGAAAAATTTTTTGGTCTAAAATTCTACCCCGATTTTTATACCATGTACTGATTTTTAAAATGTTCAATTTTAAAAATCAGAAGAGCTTACGCCTGCACAATTAGTTCAGCAATAACATAAGAGTCTAATAAAAACAATGATGGATTATAAAATCTAAATTTTCTCCCCGTGTATTAAATTTAGCAAAAATCTACACCTAGATTTTTTTTAATAAATTTTCTTGTAAAAAAAATAATTCTCTTGATTAGAATGTTTACTTATTTGGTGTACAAAAATATATGCGATAAGAAACAATTATTATGACATATGACTAAAAATTCTGAGAATCTATTTCAAATTAGCACAATTTTTGGAAGAATTTCCGTCGTTTCTAATCCAATATTGAGGAACTTTGACGATCATCTGCAATTTTTTTTTTTTAAGTTCGTTCGTCCCTTTTGATCGCACGAACAGTTTCTAAAAAAGAATAATTGCACGCCTCATAAGCGAAGCGTTGAGATTATTATCTAAAGTAACACACGACGGATTTTCCTAATTAATATGAGCGTTCAATTCACTGTCGTTAAATTATTATTTATAAAAAAACTAATATATGACTGTGGATTTTTTTGTATATCTATCTATACATTTTATTATAGTAGTTTTTTTTCCTCACCTTAGAGTTATGGCGCCACTAAACCATAGCAGAGTTTTCTGTTTTTTATTATTTTGCTTTTTATATTTTATTTTAATCAGTTTTATTGTGAAAAATGAGATTATGAGGCGTGCACTTTTGGATTTTCCAAACTTTTTTTTATTTCCGAGAGCAAACGCTTGTGATTAAACCCACCGTTAACTTCTTATGTAGTCTTCTATGTTGACCATACGGATTTAAAGTGTTCTACGTTTACATTCTTTTGTTTTTCGTTTACTGAGCATACAAAACTCTCTCGCGGTTTACCTTGATGTCATGAGAGATAACAAGAGTACGAAAAGCAAAAAAATTTATCTAAAAAAAAAAAAAAATAAAATTATGAAAGCTAAAATCTGTATAAATCTGAAGCTTGCGGCTATGTCGACTCAAACTTTTAGAAAATAAAAATCTTTAAAGTTGACCGCCTCAAGCTACAGCACCATGGGGTCTCTATTTCTCGGCTTTCTATTATATTTACACTTTTCTATTTTTAATATCAGTGTTTACATTAAGCGCGGATAAAATAAAAATTTAACGCGACCCACTTTTGTCGGTAGTTATTTTAAAACATTCACTGAGGTTTTGATTCTGGAGAAAAAATAAAAATAGTTTATTAGTATTTGGAGTTAATAGTATTTAACGATCGGCAGCCGAAAGATAATTAAACTGTTACTGTTTTCGGCGTGAATGTTGCGCTGCTTTCAATGTTCAACGCGTTAATTTTTATAGCCATCTTGTGCTATAAACACTAACAAACACACGCGTACTTTCAAAGGTAGTATGTGGTTAAAACGCGAAATAACAATTTCACTATTTTTTTACTGCAGCATAGTTTTTTGTTTCGTTCTAGCGGTAGCGGATAATTTTTATTTTGATAATAGCAGAGTCGATAAAAAATTTGCAACAATATCGGTCGAAATACATTCCAATTTAACAAACTTTCGAGGTTGTTGAAATATTTATTTAATTCATTAATTAAAGCATTATCCACTTTTAATTTATTCCAATGATTACACAACTTGTGAAAAAATTTTCCACTGTGGCTATGTATGGTCAGGCATATAAGAATAAAAAATGTAATTATAATTTTTATTGAAAAATATATACTTCAATTAACCTGGTTTTCTAAAAAAAAAAATTAGTTTAGTAGTTGACTGAATTAAAAACTAATGACAAAACATTCAAAATTTATCTCTGATATTTTAAAACGCGATTTAGTATAGGGAAATCTACTACGTTAATCAAATAAGGTTAGGTCTTGGGATTTGACTCTTGTGGTAACGGTAGTATTACCTTAATTAAACTATTAAAAAAAAAATATATATATATATATAAGATAAGCTTTCCAGAAAAATTGCAAAAACGATTTTTACTTTATAGATTAACCCTTCAAAATTATCTCTCTTGTTAGGAGAAAATTTAGCGATCATGTGCCTTCTGTCGGAAATTTTCAACACTATTTTTTGTGTAAAAATTTTATATGAGCATATCAGCCTGGACGTGTCAGGCTGCATCGCAAATTTTTTATGGGAAGTTACAATAAAAAAAAAAAAAAAAAAAAAAAAAAAAAAATTATAGTTAAGAAAAATGTTTCTATTAAATTTTCACTCTTATCGGCAAAAAAATTTTTTTTGCGAAGGATGGCATAAAATGGTTTTAAGAATTGTTTCGATTACCATAATATGATTCTTTTCGAAACAATCGAGTTTAGGACAGTATCCGTTTTGAAATAACTAATAATACAGTTTTTCTTATTGTGGTTTCTAGTTATTTTCATGTTACCGTGAAAGGACAGACTCAGAGACAGGTTTACCGTGACATTTCAAGAAATAAAAAAATGAAAAAGGAAAAAAACAAGTGACCGTAAAGAATACGTTGTTTCCGTAAGACATCCAATTGCCTGGGGATTCTCGGACGACTCTATTCTACAAACCATTTTTCTCGTTGCTATCCACGTATAACATGTGGTCACGGTCACAATTCACAATGTATGACTTTTTTTTTATTCCTCGCAATGATAAATTATCAAACCAATACATCTTATAATAATAATTTAAATATAAATTCTGTCAAAACTACTCTTCCGGAAAATAACCAATTTTTTCCAATAGAAAATACAACAAAAAAAACATTAATTAATTTGAATTATTCAATGCAATTGTTTTATACACAATGTATAATTAGCTTTTAGCAGTTACAACTCTCGAGAAAAAGCTCGAATAAAAAACGTAAAAAGAAGAGTTTCCGGGATGATGAAACTAAACGAATAAGAGCAAGTAGCATCCAGGAAAATATTTTCTTTTCCCTTTTCTTGCTCATTATCTTGTAGCTTGAGTAATTTCAGCTCGCGAGTAAAATAAGCCGATTAATTTTCTAGCACCGGGTATTGAAAGCGATATTTCTCGCTTGTTCTATTTTTGCACACCCCATACCGTCGGAGCGTTATCCGGTTTTTAATTTAATCAACTACTGAACTAATTTTTATTTAATTGAAAATATTAATTGATGTGTTTATTAACAAAAATGATGAAAAATTGGAAAATTCTAATGTGGGCCACATTTGGTTCCATTAAAAAATTTTATATAAGTACAAAACTAATTAAAAAAAATATCTAACTAATCAGTACAAAGTCCTACGCTCAAATAACCTGCCTTGCAATTTGAAGTGCATGCATGGGATTGCTGACCAACGTATGTATCAAACACTATTGATTACTCGAATGTACTGGTTAATTCATATATCCGATTGCGTACCATACGTATAATATTGAGGGTAGAATATGCCTTGCGGTCATGATAAGCTAGTAACTCAATTGACCAAAGTTATCCGAGCCAAGATCACCAGTAAGAGAGACAGATATTGTGTAATTAATGGTTCGCCCACAGATTGCTTATGTGGTTTCAGTTTAGTTCCGATAACAATTAATATCCGAAAGTGATTAAAGCAATTGAATTACCGAGTCGAGTTGAGTTCCGATTCTTTATTCACAGACCCTTCTACTCTCTCCCATCTTCCATCTGCTCATGAGACTGTTGAGACAGATCAT